CCGCACAAAAAAGCGCACTGTTACTTCAAAACCAGTATATTTTCACCTGCAATACAAAAACTTGCCACCACACTCTGTCTTCAAGGCATCTGCATTCTGGATACAAAAACTGGACACATTTGATACTTCTTCAGAAATTACGAGGGGAAGTCAATAATTATCCGCAATGCAGTTGTATTTGTGTTTTTGTTGGCAGCACTGTCATTTTGTGCAGCATCGCCATGCGTGGTTTCCTTGTCATTATTTCTGCGCAGGTCTGATGTTGCTAGGTCAGTTCCATCGTCACTGCCTTGCCGTTAATCATGGCTGCTCCGCTTTCTGTTTGCACCAAAGAAGAGCAACTTTCAGTGTCCGGTTTTTGTGGTCGGAAGGGGTATCAGGGGCAGCAATCCATCAAAGACTTTCAGCACAATACGGGAACAATGTTTTGCTGCAACAGAGTGCCTACGAATGGATTGAAAACTTCAAAAATGGTTGCACAAGTGTTATGCATGAAGAAGGAGCCGGACGACCATCCACGGCCATAAATGAGGACAACACTGAGCGTGCACGCAACATGGTTCTGTTACAGACGAGTGACTATTGATGAAGTGGCAAATCGTCTGAAAATTAGTCATAATTCTGCCTACGAAATCATCCACAACAGACTTGGGTTTCATAAAATCAGTGCAAGATGGGTCCCAAAACAACTCACAGTGTTGCATAAACAAACACGCTTGGACATCTGCCAACAACATTTGGATCGCTATGGTAACGAACGTGACGTCTTCTTAGACGGAATCATCACTGGTGACCAAACATGGATCCATCATTGTGAACCGGAGAGTAAATGGCAGAGTATGGAATGGAAACATCCACAACTGGCCGACAAGAAAAAGTTCAAAAACCAACCATCCGCAGGAAAACTGATGTTTACAGTCCTTTGGGACTCACAAGGCCCAGTACTGGAACATTATCAGGAGAGGGGCACAACAATAAACAGTGCTTGTTACAGGCTAAAGCCTGCAATTCGAAGCAAACCCCAAGGACTACTGTCGAAAGGTGTTGTGTTGTTGCATGACAACGCCCATCCACATACTGCTGCCCACACTGCTGAAACCCTCCGGAAACTCAAGTTTGATGTAATGGCGCATCCTCCGTATAGTCCTGATCTCGCCCCTTCTGACTACCACTTGTTTGGTCCACTCAAAGAGGCATTAAGGGGCCGTCGATTCACCTCGGGTCAAGAAGTGAAGGAAGCGGTGCATGCGTGGCTCACTGCTCAGCCGAAAACCTTATTTTCTGAGTGCATCAGGACGCTTGTGCAACGATGGACCAAGCGCGTTGAAAAGCAAGGGGACTATGTTGAAAAATGATGTTAATGTAAGTTTTCTATTTGCATTGAAATAAAATTTATAGCTACACTGCGGATAATTATTGACTTACCTACATATAAATGGCCAATATATTCTGTAGTTTTATCAAACAACAAAAACAGAAATACATGACAACACTTAAACCATCTGCCATATCATTTTAATTCATTGTAACATGATCCTATCATATCAATTTACACACCTACACTATATCTTACTACATTAAGTATGACAGAAAAATTTTGATTTTATTTCAAGCAGATGTGTTTTGCATGGAAATAGTTGAAAATGGAAGCAAGTTTTATTGCAGATACATACAACATTTTTTATACATGTGGTTATTTGAATGCCTTTCAGCCAGTTCAGCAGAAGCAGGACAAGCTCCTCACGCTGACTCTTTCCCTATGACCTGCAAGTGCAATAAACAAGCTGACAGGCCAACAATCACAAACAAAACCTACAAAATTATAGCAGACACAGGAATGGTCCCTGCTGTTATTCACACATTTGCTGAACCTTTATGAAATGTTCACATTCACACTCTTAAGTTCCTTTCAGGAAACAAAACAAATCTGGAACTTTAAACCCTAGTCTCAAATGCAAGGCACCTAAAGGACTTTTGAGGGAGATGTTCAAGCCCTGAACCGACTTCATTAATTTCTGCTTCAGTGAGAACTTGATTCGGTTGTCTTTTGTCTAATAACAATTCTCTCTCTAAACTCATTTATGATTATGTGAACAGTTTCTTCTGTTTAGAACTGTAACTTCCTGATATTCATGCCAGAACCTATTCCTTCCTTACCACATGGGTACTGTATGAGTACATGACCACTAGTTTCACTGTGTAAATCTCACTTGCCATCTCAACACACAAAGTAACATGTTGGAATGTTTAATGCAGTAGCAGGGATTTTTGATCATGGTCAACAGGCACATAACACACAGGCGCACTTCACAGTAGCCATTCAAAGAGTGATGATAAAGAGAAATTATAATGTATGCAGGTCAACGGCTCACTAACTACACTGCAAGTCCATGTATGTAATATGCGAGTCAATGCAAGTAGCACATGTCCCCTCTGCTGGGAAGGGCAAACAATTTGTGGCAGGCTCTCAGATGATCTCCCTGGATGTGTAAATATTATATGACCTAATAATTTAACTAAACTAAGCAAAACAAACCCACCACAGATAGAAAGATCTGCACAAATTACATCACACTCATACACTTAACTACAATATGCACCAGCAAACTTTGTTCTACATCAAGTCTTGCTGAACAGTGTATTAAGTGGGTAATGCATGGCCTCATATGATATCAGTGCAATGACCTATGGGCATATATGACTTGTATAGCTGCAACAGCTGTCCATCCAACAAAATAAATATGTGGTTATATACCTCAGAGAAATCAGCTCTGAACCCTGCTAGATGTGATGCAATGTGATCTGACAGGCATGATTATGTATAAACCAAACACACCTACTGTTTATGAGAAATGTGACAAAATTCTTTGAATTCAGAAACACCAACATAATAAACATATATTGTTTCTAGTCTTACGATAAAGTCACTAAGTAAAATTCAAAATAAGGCTTTGCCTATGAGCAGTTGTTACNAAAGCTTTTTGACATATTAAACTTTGTAAAAGGCATTCTACAATGTTCTTAAAATCTATATAATGACTACATACACCACGGTGTTATTCGTATTCGTTTACCGGGCCTTCCTACGCAATAACTGGTTACTGCACTCAACACAATCCATACATGAAACAAAAATACATAACCATACTTGAACCCCGAGTCTCTTCTTACCAGATACCACTTCCTGGAATGCCTTACAGAGTTGGCTTCCATTTCAACTCTAGTTCGTAACTGGGCTCCGAACCGTTTTCTCAATTTCGCTTCAGTTCCTACGCCGACTCCAGCCATGTTGTCAAGATGACAGCTGGTAAAGAAACTCGTCACCCGAGCAAACCTCTCTACTTTTATGTAAAACCAACGCTAAAACACCTATGCAGCTACAAAATGTAGCCACGTCTTGAATTATGCGGAAAAATGTGCATAAAGTAGTTATGAAGACGCATATATGTCGACACTATCCAACAACCACCACGAACATTCCACACCGCTTCACAATTCCCAATCCCCCTCCGCGTCCTTGGGGTCCTTGGGACGCACTTTCTACAGGTACGCCAGTCACATCAAGCAGGCAGTGCGTAAGCATGTAAATTTAAGTGAAATAAAGAACCCAATTTATTACCAATAACAGTTTACCTCTATTTATTCGTGCACAATTTTAATGCTCCAGATGAAGCTGTTAACACAATTTTCACAGGATTTACAGTATATGAATTTAGTGTTACGATACAGCAATTTCTCATACGACTACATACAAATAACTTCGATAACGGAAGGATGGACATTTAACATACCGTAAATATGGTTATCGACTTTGAAACAAGTTTCACCTGGCACTTGACTCACCAGTTGCACGTGAGATGCTAGTTCTGACTTAGTATTCTTGTGTGGCTACTTCGTAGCTCTTACACGGAAAAAGTCATAACCACAAATCTACTTCATAAAATTTCAAAGTGAACCGACCACAGGCTTCACAATCATTTCAAAAATAACTCAGTGCCTACACCATAAACTTACGCAAATATCTGCAATCTAAGTTGAACTAGTAGTTAAATGCATGTTCTTACAAGCAACTTTAATCTAAATGTAATTACCTTATATGAGAGGATGGTACACAAAACTTACAGCAGATAATCGATTATCCAGCTGTTATGGTTACATCAGTGTAGAAACAATAAGATGTGATTACAGTCAGTTACAAATGTTTCTTTTACAGCAGGTCATAATGCAATCCTACAAGTGGACCCAGGCTACCTGTCAGTATAGTGACTGTCCATGGGATACGTGATTATGGCTATTCCTGGCAGGGGCAAGATCCCTTTGCAACTGCTGTCTGGGGCTTACCCAGGCTAATTAATGGGCACTGGATGCTCTTTCCCCAGAAATAAAATCTGGGGCATGATGACTACTTACCTCCATCTAGTACCAAGACTGTGTGGAACTATACCTTCTTTCCCCCATGCATCTTCATGGCATGGTATTTAATTAAGCACAGAGACAACCTGCATTCATCTAACGGCAGAACTTAATTTTGAAAGAAGGAACAATGTATGTATAATTTGAGGTTTTCACATAGTGGTTATGAAGAAGTCCATCTTCTGGGATGCTGTGAAGTCCACTGAAAGTCAAATGACACTTTGGAGGAACATGTCACCTTCATCTTCAGGATCGAAGAATATGTGAAGCAAGGATGTACCAAAATATCAGTTGACTTTCAACAGACTACATGGCATTATATCCCAGAAGATGGAACTATTCAGTGTACACAGAATACTGAACATTTAGATGTTCCAGCAGTTACAAACAGTTGCCCTTATAATGCTACCAATTAGGCATACATAACAAATGATAGCTTATTTTTGTTAATACAAACTTCATCTCCCTGGCTGTAAAATTTGTTATTATGGAATATACTGAGGTGCATAAACTACATAATATACAGATGATGCCATATGGTGAAGACATGAAGAAGCACTGAACTTAGGTACTTAATTCTGATAGAACAAATAATACATGAGTAAAACAAAGCTAAGTGCTGATAAAATATTCTTGGTCTACTAGCCATGTTAATTTAGAGAAGTTCAGTGTTGTCAGGTGTAGTAAGTGTATCAAACCTTGTGTTAAAGATATTCTGTTATTAACATATACTATACTGAATTAAGTAGCAAATAGTATTAGCATGGCAAACCCTTGGTTGTCAGGTATCCAAGTATCCAACATTTTCAACCAATTGGCAAAAGTTTCAAAGAAAATTTACAATTTTTATAGTTATTCAGAAAAAAAGTTTGAAATATGTGTATTTCCCCGGCCACATGGTAGTTTTCCAAGCTGCCACTAGCAGCACTACCCATTGTCCTCATACAGATGCCATCACAGCAGAGGCCAGATGAATTTGTGATTTCATTAGAATATATGTATCCAAAATCTTTCATCCACCGATCCACTATGTTGCCTAGGAAGACTCCCTTACAGGAACTAAAGATGAAATATGTTATTTTGACTTTATACTTAGTTTCCGTAGGGTTTTCTTATGTAACTTGCCATACAATACAAGAAAATGGAGTATTTAGTGTACATATAGAGATTTTACTGTTTTGGTAACCATGGAATGAAATAGATGACAACAAAACTTTATATACCATAGATAGGACTGAAGGAGTGAACATTAAACAACTCTTCTAATGCAAGTTGTTCATATATCATAAATTGAGATAGATGATTTATTACTTGCAAGACGAATCGTAAAAATGAGAAATCCAAGATATTAGCTAGCTTAGACATCTTGCTTCACAGTCATAAATCAGTAAAGTTGACAGAAACAAGGAGTCATTCCATGTCAAATCAACACAGCAGTTGACATGACCACCTTGGATATTTCCCAGTGTTTAGGTTATTACAGCCAATACACAAGGAATATTGCAAAGAGCTGCATGCCAATTAAATAAGCACTACATCATAATGTAACCCCCCCCCCCCAATAAAAAGTTTCAACCCTTCAAGGAAAATGTTTCACCAGAAGTAAAATCATAATTGAGGATAAGATATTTGGACAAGTGAATGATTTCAGTTTCCTTGGCTGCCATATCTCATGTTTTAATGTTAAAGACATTTGAAACAAAATTAAGGATTTAGGCATCTTGAGACTACGCACAGAATACTTACATAACTGTTTGACTATAAAGGGTTCTGACGACAGCGTATAATACAATGTTTTGGAAACTGGTTCTGTTTCTGTTTTTGGGTGAAGGGGGGAGACCTACTCTGTTGGGTCCATTAGGAAGAGCTAACCTCAATCACTGGACAACCTGTGTCAGTATAACTGCAGAGAACCCACACGTGAAAAGAGGTTTAATTCAGTCTTCACAATAGAGCTTCCACCATATGCCAATAACAACAGATAAGTTCTTTTTAATGAAATTAGAAGCCTGGGACATGGCCATGCTATAGCTTGGGCAGTTAGTTGACGGCTTCCCACCACGGCAGCCTGGGTCAGATTATGTGGGATTTCTGGTGGGCAAAGTGGCACTGGGACAGTTTTCTCTGAGTACTTCGGTTTCCCCTGCCAATTCGCATTCCACTGATTGCTCCATAATCATCATCTGTCATCTGGGGCTGGTACAATAGGCCAGTAATGGCCAAAGTACCAAGTGGACTCAGTCTCACTGCACTAAGAATAAACAAAAACCTGGGACATGTTCTTCAGCTCAGTGGTTATCCCCAACATTTCATTGACTTAGTTATTAATACCAAAGGTAGCAGTCAGTTGAATGAAGAGAAAAGGCCTCTGGGCTCTGTGTATATCCCATATGTGAAGGGTATTTCAGAAAAATTCAAACATATGGGGAACTGTTACAACATTACAACCATCTTCAAAACTAAACACACTCTTAGAAGTTCACTCATAAAAACCAGGGGAAAAAGAGATCTGCAACAGATGGCACATTGTATGTATAGCATTCCTTGTGAATGTGGCAGAAGCTACTGTGACAGTACAGGCATACCTCTAGCCGTGTGGCTCCATGAACATGGGCACAATCTCAAAAAGCGTCTTCAAAAATTACAAAATTAACTCAACATGCCTATGAAGAGGATCATATGGTAGGTTGGAATGAAGCTAGGATTTTTGGAATCAAAAGTAACAGTAGGTATAGGAAATACAAGGAATAAGCTCATATGGCATGTTTGACCAATGCGATTAGCCAACCCAGTTAGGAAATTTCTCCCATTTGGATACCCCTTATCAGCAATGAGGTAAGCAAATCACCAGGAAGACAGTATGATCTGACAGATTCTTCATGAGTTTCTATAAGATTTTAGTACTAGGGGTTCAGTTTTTATTCCACAGATGGTGGTAGCAGTAGACAAAAAATGGTTTCACAATATGAAATTCTCCAGTTAATCCTATGCATCAGTTTTCATGGATTTGGTTTGTTGCGTAAAATGTCTACCTCCTTGTCTAGTAGGCTGTCCATTAATTGAGATTAGCTCTTGCTAACAGACCCAACAGAGTAGGTGTCTCCCCCTCTCACCTGAGGACAGCAACATATCCAATTTAAGAAATGTTGTGTTCTCTTCTTTTTAGAATACCAGACATTGGACAAGTCGAAAATTCCAGTAATCCTAAGTATACATTACCATGTTTGCAGGAGCCCTCCACTGTTCCCTATTTTGAGCCAGATTAATCCACTCCATACCACCACATCCTTTCTCTCTAATATCGATTTTAATGTTATCCTCCTACGTACATCTGTCTAGGTCTTCCTAGTGGTCTCTTTCTTTCTGGCTTTCCCACCAATATCCTAGATGCATTCTGTGCATGCTACATGCCCTGCCCATCTCATCCTCCTTGACTTCATCATTCTAACTATGCTTGGCAAAGAGTACTAGTTATGAAGAAGCTCATTATGCAGTCTCCTCCAACCTCATCAGCTCATCCCTCTTCGGTATAAATATTCTCCTCAGAACCAAGTTCTCAAGCACCCTCAGTCTATGTTCCTCACTTTAATGTCAGAAACCAAGTTTCACAACCATACAAAACCACAGACAAAATTATAGTTTTGTATTTTCAAATTTTTACATTTTTAGACAGCAGATAAGACAAAAGGTCTGGACCGAATGGTTACAAGCATTACCCGAATTCAGTCTCCTCGTAATTTATTCCTGAATCAAATTTTGATTTGTTACTGTCATTCCCAGATATCTGAATGGTGCCACATTTTTTAACAATCTATTGGTTGTTTTATGTTATGATTTTGCCCTGCATTCTGGTGACAAGATAGCAATATACACATAGTCTCCTCTGCATTTACTCCTAGACCAACCTCCTTACTAGGGTCAATTAAAGTTTCCATGTTTTTCTTTATATTCCAATATAATTACATCACCAGCATAGACCAGCAGCTGATGTGTCCCACTAAATTTCAGTCCCACCTGGTTTTCCTGGACATTTCTAATGGTATATTCCAAAGAAATGTTTAAAAGCAGTGGCAATAAATCATCTCCTTGTTTAGACCATTTTGGATAGGAAAATTATCAGACAAATCTTTACCTATATGGACTTTACTATACATTTCATTTAAACACAATTTAAGAATATTATACAATACTTCCCTCCTAACTGAATCATTGGCTTTCTTGAAGTCTATGAATAGCTGATGTACTGTTTCATTGTACTCCAGTTTTTTCTCCAGTATCTGGCAAATGCAAAAAATCTGATCAGTAGTTGATCTGTTACATCGAAACCCACACTGATGATCCCCAATAATTTCATCTATACATGGACTCAACCTTGGCAGAAGGGTATTGGATAAGATTGGATAAGAAGTTGATAGGAGGGATAACCTACAGTAATTACTACAGTCAAGTTTATCATCCCTTTTGTAAATTGGTGCAATAATAGACTCCTCCCACTGATCATGAAATTCTTCCTTACTCCAAACAGAATTAATATATTTATGGATCTCAGACCGTAATGTTTCACCTCCTGCTTTAATCAGCTCTGCCAGAATCTGATCACTACCTGGTGATTTAAACTTTTCAACTTGCAATAGCAATTTGAATCTCAAAACAACTAGGCTTGGTGCTAATGGCTCCACTGTATGTATTTCTATCTGCCTCACACTGACCCTATGTACATTCAATAACATAGAAGTAGTTCTTCCACATATTCAAAATAGTCATTCTTATCCTTTACTATGTTAGTTCTATGTTGGCAACCCTCATTAAATGCATTTATTCCTCTTTATAGGTCTCTGCTGTTCCTGTTCCTACTGTTCATTGCAAGCTCATCCCCTCTTTTTATTCCTGAAGTTCCTGCTAGCTCCATGTCTTATATTGCTCAGGTTATACCCACTTATTTGGCTTGTTTCCTTTGATCTAACAGTGCTGCAACATCCTTCGTCGAACTGTGGCTTATGCTTCTTCAGTTCATAATAATCTAGACTCTCTTTGGTTGACATTTTTTATAATTTTATAATAATTTCCCAAGCTGTATTAATACCCACATCATCATTTCTAAGTTTTTCAAAGCTGCAAACCTATCTGTGATTTCAACCCGATACTGTTCTTCACACTCTGCCTTGTTTAATTTCTTGACATTGAACCTCTCAATAATAATAATAAACCATGCATGGCCATCCCATTATGTCTACACAGAGGTGAAACTTCAGCTAAGAGAAGATTATAAACATACATTAAATTTCTAGGAGCAGTAGTGATAAGATAATGACTACAGTATAATTCAGTTTAATGAAGCAGTGGAAGAAGAGAAAGATAAAGGGTATACACATACAGAATGTAACAATTCTCTTGGCCAAATATATAAGAAAGAAAAAGACAGCTCTGAATCTAATGATTGTACTTTTACAAGGACATTACCTGAACATCCCGAGTCACTGATAAAAGATAAGTACAATTACAATACGGGGAAAGTGGACATATGAGACCACAAAGCCTGAATCATGCATATCCAACCGACACCAGACTGCACTGTGCGACTACTCTGGAAAACGGAATGCCAGTTGTAAAACTGCCAACAAAATACAGTCCATCTCAGACAAATCAGGAACAAATAACTCTAGAAAAAAAAAAAAAAGCTGGAATTTACAATATTCCCTGCTCCTATGGAAAACCAGCTGTTATATTTCAACTAGAATCTTTAAGCATATCAGGGACACCAGTAAAGAGTCAGCAGTAGTTGAAAACTTCACTGTGATCAAACATAGCATCAATGATGATAAACCTGAAACTGAAGCAAACAACTATACTTACCATTCCTGCATCACCAGAGTGGTGATCAGAACAGTCAAATATCTCCAGAGCTTCAACTGTAAATATGAATACAGACTGAGCAGTTTGGCTTCACATCTTCTCCTCCAATCCTCTGTCTCAGCCTCAAGTACCTCTCACTAGACAGTCTGCTCTACATTTCCCTCCCTTATTACTCCCACTAAAAGACCTACATATTGGTTCACTTCCTCTTCCTGCCTCACATTTACCCTCCAGATGGCAAATGCAATG